AAGGCAAAGGCAAACAAGGATTCCCTTTGACAAAGGGTAAACACTTTCCAGAGTTTAAAAGTCAAGTCTGTACTGCAGCAAAGAAAAGTCTATTCACGTCAAATGGATTTTCAGAATTTAATTTCTTGTAACACATTAACGAAAAAGAATAACATTAATAACCCAATTGCTTCCATTTCGGTTGTTATTGTTTTATAATGAACACAACTCGGTTGTCAGCTTCTGCTTTGGCAAAGTACTGTATGCTCTACTTGTGTCGTGCCAATAAAGCACCCATCAGTTTAAGCTGAAGTCTATTGAACCGATAAAGCAGAGAGGTTGAATAGCAATAGAGAGACAAAAGAAGAAGAAACTGCTGCTGAGAGACACTTTGAATTTCATATTACCAAGGATACAGAGGGAAAAAACACTTGGTTGGTAAACACTTATTCAATAATCACAGAAGCTATGTTAAAGCAAACACAAACACTGTTTGATACAATTACATTATATTTAATTTGATTCTTGCAAAATGTACAATAATACATCAAATGAAAAAGCAAAAAAAAAGTGTAATAATGTTTTTCTTGGATTGTGCATGCATGCCCTTCAATACACTTTATGTTAAAACTACTTCGAAGCAGATTAAAAGTGATCATACATGAAACCACACAGTAATTTGGAAGCAAAGGTCACAGATCAACAGTCTGCTCAGTTTGGTAATGAAATATTGTGTTTACTGTATTCAAAGACTTCTAATATCCAAGGCTTCTTTGAGTGAAGACAGTAATGAGAAGTTAAGAGAGCAAAGCAAAACAGAGAATCAAAGCTCTGGCATAAGGCCGCAGAAAGAGCAACAAATATATACGAGATCCGTTAAAAAAGTAATCTGTAATCATTTTCACACAACAAACCTTGTAGATGTATAGGATATTATTATGTTGCCTTGGTGAACTTAAACAAACAGACATCAAAGGGAGTGTTTATGGAGACCCCTCCCCTGCCTGTACACCTTGTTAAGGTTTTTAGTATGCCGAGACCCCCAGGGTCTCCAAAAACCTTTGATGTTTGGGATGAGATGGAAAATGAGATGCTGTTTAACAAACTGCCTGCAATGAGCAAGGGTTTACTGAACAAAAAAAGACAAACATTAAGGGAGATGCAGTAGAGGGGGACAGTATGGGGAGGCAGGTGCAACAACTACATCTGCCTTTAATGGACATGTACCCTAATAAAGATTAACCAGTGTTTGCATTTCCTCCCAATTATATATATGCACACATTTCTGCTGTAACTATTGGATATGGCTTTTATAGTCTCTCTGTGATGACAGGTCAAATAATACTACTGTATACTTTAAAGGCAATTATTATAATAAACAAAACAGACCACTAATGTTGGATAGAAGCTGTACATGGTTTCCTAAACTAAAACAAGCAATATTGAAACTGCCCATCTTTAAGAAAATACCATGACTTTAACAGTGGTTGTTGCTCATATAGCCTCAACACTTAAATGTTCCTAACTGGAGTGCTTTTTTTGTATCCAATATATCTAAAAGGAGCCACTAAATATACATTGTGTTGTGCTGCTCCATACAGTATGTTAACAACTTCAGCTTGAAGTAGACTTGATACATTATTCAGTATACCAGCATGCTGCATTGTTTAAAAAAGTCTAAAACTAGCTAATATTAGGCCAGGCTATTTCTCTTTAGTTTGCCAGAGTTCAGCAACATTGGGAAGGTCATGGCCTTAGGTCAGATGTCTTCGCTGTGTTTCCTTCAATGTTTACATATGCGCTGCATTTGATAACCTCGAGGCCTCTTATAGTTCAAAGCAAAGCTGCAAAGCTGACTGCCCTGTTTTGCTGGCTACTTTGCTGTTTGGCTGGTTTATTCACAGGGCTTAGATTACATACCACATACATATCCCAATGAAGTGTGCCATAACACAGTCAACCATTGCTGAGTGGACTGCCAACATTATCCGCCAGGACACCGGAAAGGAAAGGGAGAGGAAGGTGGAAGGAGGGAGGTGACATGAGGCAAGAAGTGTAAGTGCTTTCAAAAGGAGGTCTCAGGGACTTACATGAAAAGTTGACAGCCAGAGAAGATGGAGAGTAAATAAAAGGGACTTTGGAGGGAAAAAGAGCGAATAGGACCGAGAGGAGACAAGACGAGATTAGAAGGCCATAGAAAGAGGAAGATTAGGTGATGGGCTAGAGCAGGGATCGGCAACCTTTTTGATATGAAATGCCATCAATCAGCGTGCCAACGATCTTGAATT